ACATATCAGGTTCTACACAAAGCCCTTTGGTGTGGGGAGGAGTGGGAGCTTCTTTATTGTAGGTCACAGATATGGGGACTGAAAACCATTCTGAGAACATAGAGGCAACTCAGCCTGAACCCCTGCCATCCAGCTAGCCAACACCTCAATCACCCCTCTGCCCAAGTGGATTCCTACCCTTGCTGTGTAGTTCCCCCTTTGTGGTTGACACAAATCACAAACATTGCTGTATGTACACGCGGTATGTGAGGTTCCTTCTCAAGACTTCTGGGAAGGAGATGCAAAGTCATAGGCAAATATGATTTGCATCCTGGTTTGATGTTGAGATTGAGGTATGGCCCGTGGGATGCAGAAAACGGCATCCCCCTGACTCATAGATGGCACAGGCTGTGGTAATAAGCAGGTGGCCAGAGTCATCGGGCTTTTGACCTTGATTTTATATATCCGCAGGGAGAGGGTGGGATCAAGTGGACATAGGCTTCCAATCTGTGCTATGGACGACAAAGGCCACCAGTAGCCAGGCCCCCAGACAGTGAAGGGACCTAGCAGGAGGTTCTCAAATATGGGCCATTCAGAGCCCCTGTCCATTTAAGGCACAGCTAGGGTAGAGTGGTCCCCAGCTAGGACCTCTGACCTCTGGCTTGCACATTTGCATTTAAAAGCCATGATGGAAATGTAATTTTCCTGGAAGGCAGGGTTATACTCCTCGGTGCAGCACACAGCCTACTCAGCATGGTGACAAAGAACGTAGCTGAAATGGGTCCTCCCAGGAGTAGAGAGAGCTGCGTGAAGGATGGGCAGAGGGGTGAAGGAAGTCAAATGCTTCTGCATAGGGGAAATCTTTGAAGTGTGTGCAGGCCTTGCCTAATCAAACTCACCGTGAGACGCTCCAAGCACTTCACTAAATCCCAGTGTAGCTGTTTTCCATTTAGGGTTGACTTGCTTTGAGGGAGTTTCAGGAACTGAATAGAACAGTTATAATTTCCAACTTTCTTGACTGAAAGCAAATGCACCGGTCAGATTTCCTGGAATCTAACAGGGATTTGACACCGTGTTACCTCTAAAATACAAATGCACTTTATTGCAGTCTAGAGTCTGGAAAGGTGGGGGAGACCTTCAATGTGGGTGAATTTTTTTCTTCTCTTTTTACATTGAAGCAATTTCCTGTTTCTCCAGCAATATTGAGGCTGGAGGCCACAGAGGTGAGAGCACAACAAGGAAGATAAATTGTCGTCTTTGTCACTCAAACTTCAGCTGGACAGAGGAGAATGAATTTGCTGGTTATTTTTCTTCCAAAACCTAGGCAGGGCCCAGTGATCCTGGAAGGTATAGAAGTTGCCTATGCTTGGGCCCCACACAACTCTTGTGGTAAGAGACCTTACCCAGTAAGAAAAGGAACTCACGCATAGGTCAGGAACAGAAAAACCACCTTTCTTTATGGTTATCATAATTCAGTCAGTCCATGGAGGCACAGGGTTGGAGAGCCCCGAGAAACAGCTCCATCATAGGGTGTTGGGGTTTCCTCAGCAATGAACAGCTCTGTTGCTCTGGAGTCATAACAAAGGACTGGAGAGGAGAAGCAACTGAGTTGTCCAGACGTTTCTGTTCCTAGGTGCAGGGATCCAGAGGGAGGCTAGACAAGGGAAGGGCTCCTGGATACTAAAACTCTCCCTGTAGAGCCAGTGTTATGGGCTGGGTGGTAGCTCAGTTGGAAGAGCGTGGTTAGCACGTGTGGAGCTCTGGGTTGACTCTATCCATCCCCAGTACCGCATGAACTGGGCATGCTGCACCATGCCTGGAACCTCAGGGAGATTGAAAGTTCAAGGTCATCTCTTGCTCCAGAGTGAGTTTGAGGCCAGCCCTGGCTGCAACAAGAGCAGTATGACAATCTAAGGCTATGAAGTGGATCCTTGAGTCCTTATCCCTCTTCTGTATGTATTTCCCTACATGCTGTTTCATTATTGGCTCCTGTGTGAAGTGACTGAAACTTACTACATTTTACCCCCCTAAAGGCTGGTGGGGTGGGGGTTGCCTATGGGTGGGATGGTTTCTTAAACAGGGATGCAGCTCCACCATATGCAATCACTGCTGGGGTAGGTAGGAGATCTGTGATATGAGCTCATGCTTCTGGGGTGGTTTGTTAGTATTCAGGCATCTGCACTGGTGCCCTTGGGGTTCTGACAGGATACGGCCTCAGCTGCAGCCACTAAGAACAACACCTGTGCACATTCACTTTGTTCCCTTTCAAAAGGGCCCTGCCAACCTCCCATTTTCTCTCTCTCTGCTTCTCTGTCTCTGTCTTCTCTTCTGCTGCTCCTGTCCCCAAAACTAGTCTCCTCTCTCCCCTCCCCTTTTCCCCTTCACTTTCCCCTAAGTAACCCCACCCCCACCCAAGCTCTTTTGCACAGCTTCTTTCTCTCATGCACTACTTTTTAAAATTGCACCACAGGTTTTAGTTGCACAGTCTGGCTGTACATCCTACACTGGGCATACCTGGCTGCTTAGTAAATACCTTGGGTCAGTGATGGGTCTTTTGCCCGTATCCTTTCTTTGGAGAATAAGTTCTATTTACTTGATTTAAAGGTAGTTACGGTGAATTGCTAAAGGATGAGAAGCCATACAGAACTGAAGATTTAGGTACTACAACAGAACATAAAAAAAATCTCAAGTCACTCTGCAGTGAGAATCCTGAGGACTTGGCGCCTCCAAGGTCCTGTGCACCTGTCACAGCCTCAGGAGATGGGAAAAGCTCGAGCACACAGAAGACCTTGGAGGAGGGAGAGAGGTGGCAAGGACAGCAGCAGGGGATTATGGTGGAAGAGAAAGGAGCATTTGGATGAACTTCAACTGGTTTACTCCAAATTTTAGGTCAGACTAGAAAGCCAAGACTCAGCTCACTCATCAGAGTCAGTCGGTTGCTGCTGCCCCTTTGAACTGTTAGCTGCTCTAATCTTTTTGTTTTCCACGGCTACAGCACAGTGCTATTAGCCATAGTCCCTGTTACATAAATGGGTCTATTGAACTTACCTCTTCAGGGTCTGCTCTTATGGTTCGTGACATGTAGGTGTTTGGTAAAGGCAATTATACCTTAGGTTGACTGGTAGCATTCAAAGAAGCGTGCCTCCACTCCCCACTCAAAACCATGCGACTTGCTTGTTCAGGTCTAGGTCAAATGCTGCTTAGGATTGCTGTAGGGATGGGGGGGGGTCTCATCAGCTGACTGAAGGCCACATGCCACACATGGAGTTATTGAAGGTCAATCGTTTCCAAACCATTCCATGTTAAGTCGCCTGCAAGCACCGGCTTCACTTCAGCTGTGTTCTGTGAGTTCACGTGGGAGGGGGGGAGTCAGAGGGGTGGGATGGGGGGGCCGGGACTATGACTTGTTGAGGGTGGTGCCAACTAAGCATCTTTCTAGGTACTTTTTTTCTTGAGTTGATGAGTGAAGCGTTACTCTAAGATCTGTTCTTAGCAGGTACTCCATGAGCCCCAAAGAATCACAGCACTCTTTCCAAGCATTCATCCAAAGGCCCCATGTGGCCCAGCCAGAGCTATGAAACCACACATAGGGAGTCTGTAAAGACTCAGGAAAAGACATCGCCCCGCCCTCTGATGCCCTCCGAGTGCCTCCTTTCCACCCTCGCCCCCATCATACATGTCTACAATGGTAAGTTAATAGCTGGTGGTTCCAGAGATGGCCTGACAAACCACCCCACCCCAGGCTTACCAGCTTTCAATGTCTAATTCCTCAGTGTTGTCTTCCCCTGCCAGCGACAAGACTGGCAATCTGGGATGTGCCAAGTTCTTGGCTCCAGATTGTAAAACAAAACAGTATAGGAGGGAATTTGCAAGTGAGCTGATTGGCAAACACTACAGCAAGTCACTGTGTAAACACTGGTTTCCGCGCACCTATTATTTCTCTCAGGCCGCTACCTGGGTGCCATCCTGACAGTGTGGAAGTGTGTTGTTCCTTGAATCTCACATGCTCCGTCAGTCACACTTAAATGAACCAGCTGACTGTGCATCGTTAAAAGCTAAAACAAACCATCCCAGTCAATAGAAGAACCCAGAACAAAAATCCTTCATTAACTGGTAATCACAGGGTTGCTCAGTAATTATGAGGGAGGGTCTCCACGGTCATTCAGAATCAACATCAGGTTTCCAGGTGTGTTCCCATCTGATGAGGCAAACTCAGAAGATGCCAACACAGGAACCTAGATGAACTAGAAGCTATACACACTCAGGGGTGACCACCCTGACTTTCTCTAGAGGAACAGTAGTTGAACATGTGGGGTATTCTTTCAACATTCCTGACTCCAAATACTACTTTCCTGAAGTCACATAAACTCACATTTACTAGGTCTCATAAAATGCACGCATTCCGACTATCACATGTTGACCACGGGGTCCCACTGGTCCCTTTCTACATCAAGGGAGGAAGGTGTAGGGGGGAGGGGAGGCCTCTCACAGCCGGCAGGCAGAAGAGCTGGAAGCAGAACACAGAAGCACCTCACTAGAGAGTACAGTTTTTAAGGACTTAACTTACTTATGTATGTGTGCATCTGTGTGTATGTAGGTTTGTGTATATGTGAGCACAAGTGAACACGGAGGCCACAGGAGGGCATCAGATCCCCTGGGCCGAGTTACAGGTGGTGGAGAGGTATCAGATGGGATGCTGGGAACTGAATCCAGGTCTTCTACAAGTAGAACAAGCATCCTTAACCTCTGACTCATCTCTCTAGCTCTTGGGTATGAATTTTTAATCACTCTGATAAACTCTCCACAAAACAAAAGTAAATGAAAATTCTACATGGCAAAAGATGACATCACATAACACAGTCATTTCCTCCTAAGACCAAGCTGCAAGTATCACCTGCCTGGCTGGCTCTGCAACTAGTTTTGGAGACTGTGGAGGAGAGTTGTGGTGTAAATGCAAATGAATAACAGTGCAAGGCAGTTTAATTCACCACCCAAGACAAAGGAACACACAAGGCTCTAGCTAAATTGCCAGTCTTTGTCAGAAAATAGATTTATTATTGATAGTGAGTGACGTTGTCAGTATTCACTACAGAGGTTGCATAAGCCAAGGCTCGCTTTATATTGATAAAAATGCCTTATTTCACTTGCAATCATAAACATTATTCCAGTAAAAGAGGTACATTTTCTCTCCTTTCTCTTTCTTGCATGATCATAAGTTACAATGAGATAGATCCTATATAATGAGAAGGGCACACTGTCACAGCTGCCCCACCCAGTGCTTCCTTCCTGCCCCTCCACTTGAAATAGTTTATTGTCCCCACTCCCGGCTTTCTCAGAGCGGAGGTCACTAAGTGCTGGAGTCTGGAGTGGAGAGAATAGCTCATGTCAGGAGAGGCTGGGAAGAGAACAGAAGGGTGCGGTGGACTGTCTTTCTCTTTATTCTTTGTGGGTTTCATTAACACTTAACAGTGTTCTTTGATGACAGATACCTGATCTAGACCCTGGCTTTTTAAACTATTGATCAAAACATGTTATCATTCTGCAGAGTCCATTTTCCAAAGCCTGTCTATCTTTAGTGGTTTTCTCTTTAATTGGGTCATTTTCTTACTAGGAAAAGAAAAATGTTCCACCTCTGGAATTAACGTTGACGGAGCTTTGCATGTTCTCGGGGGGAACTTTATCCTCCCTTCTCCAGCATGCTCTGCAAGAGAAATAGAAAGTATGAGTTTTACCACCGGAAGGCAAGGGCAAGGAAATGGCAATAACTATTGAGGATGATTACAGTGCTACTCAAATACCGGCTTCCAAACCATGAAATAAAGCAAATGCTTCTCATCTCAAAATACCACTGCCTCATCAATGTGAGTCTCCAAATGACCCACCCACCAGCGTCTGAGAACATCCTGGGGAAGAATACAGTGTGGACGGCCGGTGGGGAGGGAGTTGTGGGCCAGCTCCGCCCTTAGGGACATCTGGAAACAGGGCTACAAGTGACAGGGAAACTCGCTGAGGTAGCATGAAGTTGGTTGGGCACAGTGCAGCAGTTACACCCAACAGTTCTTGAGGAAGACTCTCATCTGGTAACCAAGCCCGCACTCCGGGACACCACCTGGCTCTAGGTAGGATGCAGATGTCCACGCACACACAACACCCAGCAGCACCAGAGGCAGGTCTCTTCCTGAACTGTCCCAGTGCCCTCTTCACTTTCCAAGTATTGGGAATGTAGATAGGAACCATCAAAGGAAACTACAGCCAGCTGGGCAGGAGGAGGTCCCCCACTCTTATAGAACCTTGAGAATAAAAAGGACAGTCATCTTCCTTTTAGCTTTAAAACCACCTAGAAGAGGGTAGGTGAGGCCTGCAGCTGTCCACGCTGCCTATACCCTTCCACCTGACACCAGCTCGGCTACGGAGCCCTCACTGCATTTAGTTAAGAGCTACAGGAAAGCTAACACATGTGCCCTTGGGAAATGAGAGACTAGGCGTGGTAATAATTTGCTACTTTTTACTTATTTGCTAAATATATGCTAAGGTTTATTAAGTAAAACATGTACATGATAAAAATAAACTCACAGAGGAACAAAGCATACATTGGGAAAGGTTTTTGTTCAGGCTGCATCCAGGGAAGGGAGGAATTCCAAAGTTCTGCCTGGCACAGGCAGCAATTCTCTGCAGTTGCAAGGAAGGGGGAGGGCGTTGCATCCTATTTCTCACGTGAGATGGCGGAATAAGGACAGAAAACTGGGCAGTGGGCAGTTAAGAGCCAGGAAGAAATCAGCGTGGTTAAGGAAGGAGGGAGGCAGGGCAAGGAGGACAAGCTTCCTGCTGGCCACTGAAAACAAATGGGTATCCAGCAAATGCCCATTTCATGAGAACGGCACTCCTGAAACTGAACCTGACATCCTTGGCTCAGTGAACTCAACAGAGGGGAGAATGGAGGTGGGAAACCCCAGCAGACTGCACTGGAAACCATGCCAGGGAGGGCAAGGGAGACACAGGCACAAGAAGTCCAGAGAAGAGGAAGTGAGAAGACAGACTCAGTGGACCCCGTGACAAAGTATGGGAGGGGACACTATGTGAAAAAAAAAAAAAAGCAAAAGGATAAATATGGCTTTGCGTTTGTGGACTGATTTTGAATGAGACATCCCCACAGGAATCTTTGGAAAGAAGTTACAGGTTTGGGAAGAAAGGTCAAATGATGTAAGACAAAGATGATGGGGTGGGGTGTGGAAAACGGAGAACAGGGTAGAAGGACAAACAAGAGGGGATCTGGGTCCTAGAAACAAGGGAGGATGGCTATCTGATTATCGTGGGGCCTGTGATTATAGGTCCCTGTGCTCTGGGGACATGGAGCACTACAGACTAGACTCAAAGGCAGGCAAAGTAGAGAGAAAGACAGCGGAACGGGAAGAAAGACGCTGCTTTAGTCACAAGTTAGAAAAGCCCAGGTCCAGAGGGCATGAAGCACAAAGCAGAGGCAGCAAAGCCCCCCATGGTGGGGCCAGGGACTCCACACGACACACGAAGTTCCTCAAGAGTATGTGTTTGCAGTTCCTCAAGAGTATGTGTTTGCAGTTCCTCAAGAGTATGTGTTTGCGGGCAAAATGTGACATCCAACCATGCAAGTCAGACACTGTCTGCCACTGTCAGTGTCCCAGCGTTTCCTCTAGGCTCACCTTTGTGACTTGATCTGTGTAAGTCTCTCCAGTCACAGAAGGGGGCTCTGTAAATGCCCAGCACAGAGACACCGCACTGCCCAGTGCTCTAGGCTCACCTTTGTGACTTGATCTGGGTAAGTCTCTCCAGTACACAGATGGGGGCTCTGTAAACGCCCAGCACACAGACACCGCACTGCCCAGTGCTTTGCTACACGCACTAGAGAAGTCGGTCTGAGCAGATCTATAGTGAGCACGCTTAGGGCTTCCGGTTCCTGGAGAGAACCTCTTTGAGCGATGCTCTAAGGTTGCTCTGCACCGGGGGTCACGAGCCCACGTACTTCTGAATTCACCAATGACAACCTTACGCATTATGACATCCGCCTGGTCGGGATCACATGGCTCTCCCTCTCCCTATACAGTCAGGTGACAATATGCCTCTTCAGTGTTGTGACATAATCTGCAGCTCGTGCAACACAATGAAAGTCATAGTTAAAGGGTTCTCTGAAGGCTTAACCATTCTTTCTTTTCAACCCCAAGCAACTGTAGAAGAGTAATTCTCAGTGGAATGCCAGCAGTGCTAGACCTTCCCAAAGAAAGACAAGCTGGGCTCTGGCTCAAAATAGGGACCAGACACTTAGAATACCGGGCCACAGCTGCAAAGGACACCATGCTCACACCCACCACTTGCCCTGGGACATGTGTTAAACTCCCAGTCCCTCAGAGACAGCAATGCTGTGTGTGTCCCTTTCTAGAGACATGAGGGCACACAGGAGGGCCTGGTCTATAAACCTGTCACAATGCACTCAGCTGCTACCCGAGGGTGGCAGAGGTGGTACAAAATCGCTCTGCTGCTGTCAGGGACATTAACAAACACAACGTCAAGTTGGCATTTTTAAAAAGATGAATAAATTCATAAACATTCTGTGCTATTAGTCCATCACAGCTGTGCAAACCAGGTCTGCTGAAGGCTAGAGGTCATGGTTGGAGGGAGTCCCAGGACTGACAGGTCTACGCTGGCCGCACCTCTCAGACTGTCCCATCTCTGTATCTAGATGCTGTTGGGTTGGATTAACACTGCATAAATTAACACTGCATAAATTAACAAAGGAAATTCCCTAAAGAATGAAAGGGAAGCTTTGCAAGTTATATTAAAAAAAAAAACCCTGCTGCTTTCATTTAAGGAAATGCTAACACTTAATCTTAATGTGGAGAAGAAACTCCTCACTGCTGCTCCTCATTCACATATTTGGGTCTGCAGAAACGCCTTTTGTAAATAGCTGTACAAAGCACCAAAAGGAGCAAATGGCTCAGGCATCAACACTGCTCTTTTCCAAAATCTCTTTTGGTTCCAGCCACGGATGAGCTCACACTGTCAAACAGGGACAGTGCCCCTGGGGACCCAAGATGGTGTGTCATTCCCACTTATTAAAATGATCTCAAGCGCTCTTCTGGAATATTTCTGTTACACAGTCATCTCGTCAGCCAGTTTCTGAATCTCAGTCTTGCACAGGCTGACTACCCTAGCAGTGAGCAGTCACTGGCTGTCTCTGTAGATTTAAAAGGAATTTAAGAGCAACCCTGTATTGCTAAGCAATCATTACAGAGAGAATGGGATTTTAAAAGAGACCAACCAGACTGTATGTGTCCCTAGAGGGAAACTACCCGGACTCTCCCTAAGGTCAGATTAGGTGTGGACACAGGAAGGGTTTCACAATGGGGGGTTGGGGGTGGCTAACACAGAAGCAGCAGGTCCTGAGTTAGCTTTCACTGAGGAGAGACAGGGAATGCAGAGTGCAAAGGAACAGATCTGTGATGGGGAAAATCAACGAGAGGCCTGTGGGTAAGAAAGCTTTAGAGAAACCAGCTTGGCTGCCTGTGTGCTGAACCTGGAAGTATGATGAACTAACCAGTTTTCGTCTCAGTGTCTGTCCCTACAGGCAGGGCTGTGTTTTGCTCTTCCCGTTTTTGTAGAAGACACCAGTCAACTTTGCCTGGATCCTGTTTCATATCATCCATGTCTCTAGGTGACATTCAAATGTACTCACTCATACATGGATTTTAGACATGGATCAGGAGAGTGCAGTCTGCAATTTCACTGACAGAGAGTCTGGGAAACAGGAAAGAACCTAAGAGAGATATGCATGGTACCCCAGAGAAAAGGAATGAAGCAAGATCTCCTGAGCAGATTGGGAGCACGGCTGGGGTGGGGGGAGAGAGGGAGCTGGGAAGAAGAGAGAGGGAGAAGAGGAGGAGAGAGTAGGTCATGGGGGAACAGGAAGGTTGAGTGGGGGGTAGAATAGGGAGAGAACAGGATGAGAAATACCGTAATAGAGGGAGTCATAGGTTTGAAGAGAGATCTGGCACCAGTGAGAACCTCTAACGATCTACAAGGATGACACCAACTGGCAAGCTAAGCAATAGTGGAGAGACCACCTTAAACACCCATTCCTGATAATGAACTTGACAAGTACCTTATATGCCATCCTAGAACCTTCATCCAGAGACTGATGGAAGCAGAGGCAAACACCCACAGCTAAACACTGAACTGAACCCATGGAACCCAGTGACAGAGAGAGAGGAGCAGTGAGCAAATTGGCAAAGAACGGGCCGGTGAAACCAGCAGAGACAGTCTTGGACCCCAGACTGATGGCTGAGAGGCCAGCATGGGACCGATCCAGACTCCCTGAGTGTGAGAGTCAGTGAGGAGGCCTGGGCAGCCTATGGGGCCCTGGGCAGTAGATCAGTATTTATCCCTAGCATACAAATGAACTTCGTGTGTCCATAACACAAAGAGGGATGCTCTCTCAGCCTGGACTCTTGGGGAAAGGCCTGGACCCTGCTCTGAGTGAAATGACAGACTCTGGATATCTCCTATGTGGAAGGAAGTGGGGACAGGGTGGGAGGCTGAGGGGGCATGGAAGGGGGGAGAGAGAGGGATCTGGGATCAACATGTGAAGCAGGCTCTTTTCTAAAAATATGTAATAAAAAATGAAAAAAATTAACTTACAAGTAATTAACTGTTTATATACAACTTGCCACAAAA